CCTTGCTAGGTATCGAATTCCGACCTCGGGAACCGATTTTCACTGCGCAAGGCCCGCTTGGTGGTCTTTCCTGAAGAAGGTAACGCCGCTTGAATCATGGAACTATCGAAATTGTCTTCGGACGAGGCTCTACAAAGGTTATATCGCTCCGGTAAACTGGAGCCCTTTCTCAGGTTTCATTGCTAATATATATTGTAGTCCTCGATATTGGTTCGTTTCGGCATTTGGATTTTATATAAATATATATTGTTTTTAATATATGTTGGTCCCTTTCATTTTGTATTTTTGTAATTTATTTTTATTTATTTATATTTATATTATTTATATTATTATTGTTATTATTATTATTATTTCCCAGTCATCTTCAGTGGATAATCCACGTCTCAACTTCGCTTCTTTCCGAGTCCATGGAGTTGTGGCGGGCAGCCCGCTGAGTGGCTCTCATCCTTTGATCGATAGCCCTGTCTGGCGGCTCAGCTTGCCCGCTTATGGATCCTCAGCACGCCACTCGGTCCTTCCCACATGGCCTGGGATGCGCGTTCCGGTGGAGGGTCTTACATCTGGACGGAGTAACGGGAGAATCAGGATTTTCTTCTTTTCCTTCTCTGTCTCATCTGTCCGCTCCGTCCTCCGTATACCGATCCGAGCTAAGATCCTCGGTCAATTCCACATTTTCCCTCGAGAATATAAGACATACAAGTAGGCCATTGTCTCCTTTATCTTGAGTTTCCCACTTCCGGGTCTCAGGTCCCGCAGGACCCATTTTGTCCCCTTTACCATCCAAGCTTCAAGCTGAGTTGACGTGGAAGTTCCCAGCTTTTCAGCCGCCATCCATACGGGCTTCCATGAGCACTCGGCCGTTATCGTCATAAAGACTGTCCGTACAGGATTCTATGTTGTATTCTTTTACCACGTACTCCGTACTCTGTACTCTGTTTGGAATCTTCTGTATCACTTCGTATCCAGGGACGCCTTACGGGTAAAATGGCTTTAGGCCGGATATGGGCATTGGATCGGAGGCTACCATTTTATTCTCCGAGGCGATCCTTTTAGTTTCTGATGATACTAGGCATCCGTATCGTCCCATACCATCTATACCATCTGTAACCTGATGTTTTACCAACGATGTTAACGGCTGCCGCTATGGACCGTTCGGTATATGATCTTCATCCAGGTAAAATAGATCGAGTGTTGATCTGTGGACTCACTGAGTCGATGTCTTGTTGGACTTCCTACATTGTACTCCATACATGTACAGCATTAGTCTCACACCCCTCAGGCCCACCTGAGAATTGATTCAGCTGAACCAGATATGAGTTTTTTTTTTTTTCCCTTTCTTTTTCTTTTGCGCTTGAATATTCTGATGTACGGAGTACAACATTGTAGGCCGTGAGAAGATGAATAGCTACATTATATTCCAAGTTAGATGTATATGGGATTTATCGGGCTAAAGTGGTGGACCCTCCCATTCCGTTTAATATCCCTGTATTCCCACTGTGACCTCGCTTGGCTATTAAGACCTATTTGCCTCACAAGATACCTCCGGTCGATCCTAGCCTAGCGGCGTGTGTCCCAGGTACCACATTTTCACTTTGGTGGATGCTTCTCTCTCAACATCTTATAGTTACTGCCCAGCTGCGTAACGATCATCAGAAATCAAGAACCGATCTTAGATCCAGAGAAAAGAAAAAGAAAAATAATAATAAAAGCTGGAGACAGATGTCCCGCTTGTAGTCTTATCCTCGTTTGGGCCTTGTTTTTTCCTTCTCCTCTTCTGGAAAACACACCGGTTCCTTTTCACCTGCCACGCACGCTTTTTGGCTTTAATCCCCTTTCTTATTTTCTTCAAAGTCTGGAGCTTTCACCCTTTACTTTAATTGCAGAACCCTGACCCTTTTTCTTTTTTTCCTTAACGGCACTTCGATCAGACCCACACCAACGTCTCATATCGGGGGGAGTCTACCGTTTCCTGTTTGGGCTAGAATTTCTCCTATTGTTTCCGTTGAAAGTCTTCTACTTCTTTTCCCTTTTCAAAAGAGAACTTGTCTTTTGGTTTTGAACTATCGTGAGTAAGGGCAACACATACGCACACCCAAAACTAGACCCTTACCATGTCAGTCGGCGGCCCTTGCCTTTGGTTGCCTTCATTATCTTCGCCAGTTCCTTCTCCCCTATCTGCAGTTTCGTCTCATCTATCAACCCGAAATAGCGAGAGAATCTCTTTAGGGCCCAGAACTATCTCGCCACGGCTATCTGTGCAGAAGAAAGAGGAGCCTGGCGTTCCTGTTCTGGTGCACGCCCCCGCTCGTCCTGTGGAGATGCAGCCGACTGGTTATAAGGCTGAGAACGCCTTGAATAACCCGGCACAGCCTGTCAGCATGGGTTCAGCGCCGTACTTGGAGAGAGATGCTTCACGGGATACGGTCAACCACCGGCTGGAGGCGGCGAAACAGGATATGCTTCCGCGTGTTAAGTTGGAGATCCCGAGTCTGAATCAGCGGGGCTTTTCGGCCGTTCAACCCCTGGTCGGGCACGGTGGTCATCCTGAAGAGACGGGTGCTTCATCGTTTTCGGGCCATGACCCGAGAGACGACCACGAGAGAGAATCGACGATCAGTCCTGATGATGATAAGGATATGATGGGTAGTGATGACAATAGATCGCCTTCGATGGAGAAGAAGAAGATGAAGCGTTTTCGGTACGGAATTTTGTCTTCGAAGTATAACGCATTGTTGCTGACAGAAGTATAGTTTAACACATAACCAAACCCGCTTTCTGATGAGCGAGTTCACTCGCCAGGCACATCCCGATGCGGCTCATCGAGAACGTCTGTCGAGGGAAATCCCTGGGTTGACCCCGCGTCAAGTGCAAGTCTGGTTCCAGAATAGGTACGGTGTTCAACTAGTTTGAATCGTCTGTCCTTGGCTAATGTGGATGTACTGCCAGGCGAGCAAAGCTCAAGCGTCTCACTACGAATGATCGGGAGAGAATGCTCAAGTCTCGGGCCCTTCCTGACGATTTCGATACCACAAAAGTTCTCCGCACGCCCTTTGAGGGCAAACAATCAGGTGTCACGCCGGTGGCATCTCCCCAAGGTTACGGGGTTCCAAATCCAGATTTCGGGGCTTTGAGAACACTGCGTACCGATTGCTACACCCGACCAAACGAAGATGACTATCTCGTCTCGCCTCTCAGCTCTGCATCGACAGCAGGAACATACATATCTTCGACTGGACGAAATGACAGCCTGTCTCAGTCAAACATGATGTTCCGTCCTGCGGCGTCTGCGTCCATGTCCGATTTACATAGAACCATCCGCAACGATTACCCAGTCACCAGATCAAGCAGCTTGTCCGATGCGTCCGCCCATCCGTCGCCATATGCGGGGTATCCTATGCACAATCGCTTCGCGGGGCCCCAGTCAAATCAGCCAGGTCTGCCGTATATGAGACGACCCATGGAATACGCCATGCCTCGTCATCCAGGTATGGGGCCCTATGACCAACACCAATCGTTCGAGGGCTCGGTGTCGCCGACAGACACTCAAGGTTCACATATTACCTACGATATGAACAACCTAGGTTAGTTCTTTTTTTTTTTTTTTGTCGTTCTCTCGACCTTTCCCAAATGCTTTTCTAACATAATTCATATAGGCCCCCAACAACAAAGCTACAGTCTTGGAATGGGCTCTCAATTACCAACTCAAGGCCGACCCCTGGCCACCATGCAGAACCTGCCAGTTTCAGCAGCACAAGATTATTGGCCCTATCCCTACGACTCCACCGCAGGCCCAATGGGCACAGCAGTTCCCTACACACAAGCAAACACCTCAACTCTGAGTCTCCCAACTTCGGAGCCATCTTACAACTACCCCAACTATATTCAGCAGTGAGGGGAGCAAGACGGTGGGCTTTGAAAAAAAATCGGCTACCACTTGTCTTGTATACGACATCCTCGTTTTGCTTTCCACATCTTTTCCTTCGTCTCCATGTCAACATTCTGGTTAACTGGTTAGCTGGGTTAACCAAGGATCCGCGATCTATATCAGCGAGTACTAATCATTAATCATTGTCATAGCGTTTACCATTTCTGGTTTCTGGTTTTTGGGTTTTTTTGGGTTTTTTCTCTTTCTGTGTCTTGTGTTATCAATTATCTTTTTAAAAGCTTTTTCTTGTCAGCATTTTGGATCTGCTTTTTGTTTCATATCATGTTCCTATTTCTGTCGCTTTCTTTTGGTCTGGTCTGGAATCTAGCGATCATTGTCTGGAAGACAGTGTGTCTAATATTAATTGTTTCTGATCTCGCTGCATAGCCTGGGGTGAAAAAGGTCGAAATGGTACAGAGATAGACGTCACCGTGTTTAGCGTTTAGAAACAGACAGACCTTCGAGTCTACGATTTAATTCAACCAAATAAACCAAGTTGTTTCTATACTTTCATCTAGTTTCGTGGCATACAACCTCCAATATCCGATTCTTTGGTACGGAGTACGTGCTATCGGAATTTGACTCATTGAGGTCATAGCTCCCGATGCAAGTAAACAATAGTTCCCTTGCTTGCATAGCCTACAAGCCACCGAACCACAGCCCTGGAGGTCATCCAAATCTCTATCGAATCAGAATCAAGACAAAAGTAATCAAATTCTTCTTTTCTCACATCCACCGGCCACATCGTCCACTCAAGCGACGTGTATTTGCGTGCCTCCGCGATGGGCCAATCAGCGTCCACCGTAACATAGCAAAGTCACGTGACAGCATTTCTCTGGACCAACCAAAGACCAGCAATTGATAATCACCGCCCATACACTCACCCTCTGACGTATGTAGAAGAGAGTATATAAAGGGACTCGTAGAAGCAGCATGGTATTTTCTTTCTCTCAGACATCCTCATCTTTATTCGAGAACAAACACATTTCTAAGCTTTTGTACTTCAATCTTGCAAACTCACAAATCCCTCACCTTCAATCTTCAACAACCCGTCATATCAAATCAACCCGCCAAAATGGTCCACCCTACCACCACCTGCTGCAAAACCAGCCAAGATGGCTCCTGCGTCTGTGCCGCCCAGGCCAAGTGCTCCTGCGGCCAACAGAGCGCCCTCCACTGCAGCTGCAATAGGGCTTCTTCCGAGAACACCGTATCTGGTCCCCGCTGCTCATGCCGTATGTGACTCCACTGTTCTGATAATCTTGAAGAAACATATATATTAACATATTTAAAATAGGCTCTCGCCCAGCTGGCCAATGCACCTGTGAGCGCTCTGTCACTGAGAACCAGCCTATCGCTGGTGAGAAGTGTGCCTGTGGCAGCCGTCCTCAAGGTGAGCTTTAGTCTCCTTCAGAAAATGTGATTTGTGGTGTTGAATGTCCTGCTAACTTTCACTCCAGCTTCTTGCACCTGTGAAAAGGCTGCTGCTGTTGATTCCGCCCTCGAGGTGGACTTCACTGGCACCGCTTAAGTGACTCGATTCACTTATATCTTTTGCTTTGATGGAGGTTCTCTCTATTTGATAGTTGCATTTTTCATCCCCGCCTTGATGGGGTGGTGGCGTCTTGGGCTTGGGCATTTTTACTGGTTGAGGTTGCTTAGGGTTATCATTCCCTACTGAATGAGATACGAAATGAGATTTTAATACTATCCAATATTTCACTAGAATATGTATAGGAAAGAAATAACCCGCGGGTCACACGTAAGCTAGATTTGTTTAGTGCACTGAAAGCTATCGAAATGGACTTGGGTGACTATGAAACGGGAATATACATACTTCTTAAAATAGACTTGGTACAACGTGTCGAGCCTCAAGGCTTGTTTGGAATGGGAAGATTCAGATCGAGGTAATATATTAGAACATCACTTAGGAATCAGTTGGTTGAGTTCTGTCCAAACTGGCAAATACAACTACGACTTCTACTTCCATATGTACACTTCGCATCTTGCACCGCCACATCGGATCAGTATTCCTCCGCCGCCACATACCGCCACAGCGGAACCCGAGCTGATCGACAGCGGAAGTGACCCAAATGAAATATGCGGACAAGTTACGGGGATGGACTCATCTCGACTTCGCGTGCTGCTCGGCCTATTTATCCTGGGATCTCTAAATTGGTCGCTATTCTGTATGTTGTCGTGGTTCGGATACCTCCGGCCCACACCAACCAACCACTGCTGACAAGCTCCCCCCCCCCAGAATTCAACTCCCTTACACCACAACCCCCTGTTTTCGAAGGTGCTTCCACAAGCCCGGAAATCCATCACCCGACACGCTGCATAGCCAATGCCCCACAATCGACACGCCAACATAACTGGGACATGGTTGTGTGACGTGCGTCCGATCGCGAACCCCCTGAGGTGATAATCCCGCGTGGCATGCGAGGGCGCACCTCGATCGAAACCCCCGCCATACGATAGTCGTCATTTTATTTTTTATTTTATTTTTCGCGTCCGTGGACTCATAACACGATCCGCTATTGCCGTCGCTATGTCGTCGATGCGAGGGCTTGTGCAGTTCATTGCTGATCTGCGGAATGCCCGTGCTAGAGAACTCGAGGAGAAGCGCGTGAATAAGGAGCTGGCCAATATTCGGCAGAAGTTTAAGTCTGGAAATCTCAATGGTTACCAGAAGAAGAAATACGTTTGCAAATTGCTTTACGTCTACATTCAGGGTTACGATGTGGACTTCGGCCATCTCGAGGCTGTCAACTTGATCTCTTCGTCTAAGTACTCTGAGAAGCAGATCGGATACTTGGCTGTCACGTTGTTCTTGCATGAAGAGCACGAGCTACTCCATTTGGTTGTCAACAGCATTCGGAAGGATCTGCTCGATCATAATGAATTGAATAACTGCTTGGCCCTGCATGCTGTGGCTAATGTGGGTGGTAAAGAGCTTGGAGAAGCACTCGGCTCGGAGGTTCACAGGCTGCTCATCTCACCGTGAGTTTGGGAATGTTCCTTGTTTTTGTTTATGATTATTCTGACGTTCTCCAGTACCTCCAAAGCTTTCGTCAAAAAGAAGGCCGCTTTAACATTGCTTCGGTTGTACCGCAAATACCCCGGCATTGTACGAAACGAATGGGCAGAAAGAATCATATCGATTATGGACGACCCTGACATGGGAGTAACGCTCTCCGTCACCTCTTTAGTCATGGCGCTAGCTCAGGATTTGCCAGAGGAATACAAAGGCTGTTATGTCAAGGCTGCACAACGATTGAAGCGGATTGTGGTTGACAACGATATCGCCCCGGACTACCTCTACTACCGTGTACCTTGTCCATGGATTCAGGTTAAGTTCTTGCGCCTGTTGCAATACTATCCTCCGTCAGGTATGTTTAGTGCCGTGGCAGCTTATAGCTCAGTTTCTCACATATAATTACAGAGGACAGCCATGTTCGCGAGATCATTCGAGAATCCCTCTCCCAGATGATGCAAGCTGCAATGGAAACACCCAAGAATGTCCAGCAGAATAATGCCCAGAACGCCATCCTTTTCGAAGCCATCAATCTCCTTATCCACCTCGACTCTGAGCACAATCTCATGATGCAGATCTCCACCCGCCTAGGCAAATACATCCAGTCTCGGGAGACCAACGTTCGATACCTCGGCCTGGATGCGCTGACCCATTTCGCCGCTCGAGCCGAAACCCTTGACCCAATTAAAAAGCACCAGAACATCATCCTGGGCTCACTTCGAGACCGCGATATTAGTGTTCGTCGCAAAGGATTGGACCTGCTGTACAGTATGTGTGATACCAGTAATGCCGGGCCCATTGTGAACGAGCTTTTGCGATACCTGCAGACCGCCGATTATGCCATTCGGGAGGAAATGGTACTCAAGGTCGCTATTCTTACCGAGAAGTACGCCGCCGATGCACAGTGGTACATCGACATGACATTGAAACTGCTCTCACTGGCAGGAGAACATGTGAACGACGAAGTATGGCAACGAGTGATCCAGATCGTGACCAACAACGAAGAACTACAAGCTTATGCAGCACACACCCTGCTGGGCTACTTGAAGTCTGATTGCCACGAAAGCTTGGTGAAAATCGGCTGCTATGTCTTGGCGAGTACGGCCACCTCATCGCTGAAAATGCAGGCTCAAGCCCTATTGAGCAATTCCTGGCCCTGCAGGCCAAGATGTTCTCCAGTTCCGACAACGCGCGGGCCATGATCCTCTCGTCGTTTGTCAAGTTTGTGAATTTGTTCCCCGAAATCAAACCTCAGCTATTGCAAATCTTCCGCCTGTACAGCCATTCTCCCGATTCTGAACTGCAGCAGCGAGCATTTGAATACCTGTCACTGGCGACTCTCCCGACTGATGATCTGCTGCGAACGGTCTGCGATGAAATGCCGCCATTCTCAGAGCGAACCTCCATTCTACTTTCTCGGCTACACCAGAAGACAGCCGGTGCGAGTGAGAAGAAGACCTGGGTTATCGGTGGCAAGGACGCGAATGCGGACAAGCAGGAAATGCTCTTGGCACAGAACACCGGTCTCAAGCGTACCTTCACGACAATCGTCCATGGCACGCGCACTGGGTCCGGCAATACTCCAGCCAGCCCGGCAAGCGCGTCCAATGCGGCCAGTGCATCGGGCGACCTCGCAGGCCTTGATCTGAGCGGTCCGTCGGCCCCAGCTCCCAACATGGCCAGTGCCGCTCATTTGACCCCAGAATGGGACATCGGCTACAACCGACTGTTCTTCTTGCGCGAGGGTGTGCTCTTCGAAGATGCACAGATCCAGGTTGGGCTGCGCTCGGAGTACCGCGGCCCTATGGGTGTCCTGAAGCTCTACATTTCCAACAAATCCACGTACGCCATTGGGTCTCTTACCACCACCGTCGACAACCCGGCCTCTCCTCAATTGAAGATCGACACGAAGAATCTGCCCGAACCAACAATTCCGGCTGCCGGCCAGACACAGCAGACTCTGTTCTGCACAGCCCATGGTCCCTTCACGGATGCACCTACCATCCGTATCTCATACTTGGCCGGTGCTCTCCAGGCCTACACACTCCAGCTGCCTGTTCTAATGCACCGCTACATGGAATCCTCGTCTCTGTCGGCCGAGGAATTCTTCAAGCGATGGCGCCAGATCGGCGGTGGACCGCTGGAATCCCAAAAGACCTTTGGCTTGCTGGGTAAGAACAAGACCATCAATGAGAGATTCACCAGGAAGATTGTCGAGGGATTCTCATTCAAGATCTTGGATGGTGTCGATCCAAACGCTCAGAACATTGTTGGGTGCGCCGTGTATCAATTCGAGGGAGGCAAGACGGGCTGTCTGCTGCGGCTGGAGCCCAACTACGAGAAGAAGGTATGTATCAAAACTCTTCCAATTATTTTGCTGTCGCCATGCTAACTCTTCTCAGATGTATCGCGTCACTATTCGTGCCACCCAAGAAGAGGTCCCGCAGGCACTCGCCAGACAGATGGAGCTGAAGCTGGCGCAGGGCATGAGAGCAGATGAAGCCTTCGATTAAGGCGTCTGGGGGTGATATGGGAGCATTCATGTATATCTCTAATTGGATTACCAAGTAAAATATTAACAAGGTTCCTTGTGGAACATAGCATCTCTTGTGTATAAACCCTTGCCAGTAAACAAATAGAAGTGCTATGCATCGGTACATCGAACAATCAGCATTCTGGCGAAACCACCAGAAGCCAACACTTTTTTAAGCTTAATTTTCACAAAAATCATAACTCATGACCCACCCAGCAAACTTACACAACACTCGCCTCCGCCTTAGGTGGCCGATCCCCAAAGATCGTAGTCCCAACCCTAACCTGATCACTACCAAGAGCAATCGCCCCCCTCGAAATCCGAGCTCATACCCATACTAAGCTCCAACGCAGCCTCATCCCCAACCAACCCAAGCTCCCTAACAACCCGATCCCTCGTGTCCCTCAAGCAAACAAAATCCTCATTCTCATTCTCCACCGTTGTCACCCGTGATCTCGCAATAGCCCCAATAGTCATGAAACCCTGCAACTTAAGCCGGGGACACTGTTCACGAACATATCGACAAAGTGCCGCCGCGCCAGCAGGCTCAATACCAGCCTTATTCTCCTCGCCAGACGTATTAACCTGAACATAGATCCGCAGCCTCCCATCCTCGTCGTGGTTCGTAGCAGCCATTTCAGGACCCCGATCCCCCCACCCCTTATCCAGCAACTTCGCTTTCTTCTCCGAGTCTACGCTCTCGACTGCCCACAGCCCTGGAACGTCCCGCGCAAGTGTTACGCACTTGTTGCTCTGCAGCCCGCCGATGAAGTGCCATTTGATACTTGCAGGTAGCAGGCGCGATTTCTCGAGTAGTTCTTGAAGGTAGTTCTCGCCGAAGTGGAGTTGCGATCCTGGGGTTTGGTGCAGTGCCAGTGCGTCGGATGCGGGCTTGAGCTTGGAGACGGCGACGAGTCGGACTGGTTTGCTGGGGATTGGAGATTGGAGGGCGGCAGTGCTCACCCGCGCGCGCACAGCTGTTAGATTTGAGAGGAGGGCGGCGGCGCGCGCTGGTGTTGCTGGGGTCATTGTTGGGGGTTGCGGTGGTGTGTTGGTTGTCATTGCAGGTTGAGTGGGGTTGTTGTGGTGTCGATTGTGATTGTTGGTGCTGATCGGTTGGTTGGGGTGGTGTACTCCTTTTGGGGATATATTATTGGGAGTTTGGGGGTTTTGTCCAGGGGCCAGGTAGGTAGAGAATGCAATAACGTGCTCTGTCAATTGAGTCGAGGTAAACCAAACCCGAGCTATGGATAGAAGGTGGGACTTTCGATGAGAGCCTCAGGCACCTAGGTAATTTCCCTCGGAAAGTATCCCGTCACACGTGACTTGTATGCACCGCCACACCACCATCCTGCGCCTCAGAGTTTATTTCAATTTTCCGTTTGCATCCTTAAATCGACGATGAGATCATCTATCTCGATCTATCCAAGAATGTCAACTGACATGCAAACTCTATTTTCCCCCTCGGCGCTAGACGATACAGTTACCCGGTAGGTAATCCCGATGCGAGATCCTGGCGGCAAGCCAGACAGACCTCTGCTCCAATCACGGATCTGCACGCCCGGAAAAGAGACCCCTGCGGAGCGCCGGGTATGGGCGGATCCCCCCCAGTTCGTCTCAAAAGTGTCAGGGCTCTCGGCTGGTCTTGTCGATCAGATTGTGTTGAGTTTCAAACTAGTACCTCCTTTGATGCAGGACCTTGATCTCTATTTTTAATGTTTTCTGCATGATTCTATTTCCTACCTTTGTTCAACCTGTTGAAACAGAACAATAGCCGCCGCTTTTATTTTATTTTATTTTTTTTTACTTTTTTTTACTTTTTTTGGTTTCTCTTTCTCCTAAGAACAAGCCCCATTTTCATTACCTCACCCTGTAACCCCCCCCGGGGCCCCTCAGAGCGCCAAGTTTGCTGCCTAGATTCTCAATTAAGAGTAGCTAACTAATATAAGTCTAGATCTGTCCAAGAGCAAAATTAGTGGTACCAAGTCCCATCGCGCCCTCGGCGAGAATACCACCTGTCTGATGTAACCTGCAGCTCTCAGCCGACGGATGGAGTAAAGTCTAGGCAAGGTGAAAGCCCACTAATGATATATAAGCCCACTAGTACTATGAGTTATAATACCCAATACCCCCGTGGACCATAATAATCAAAAGGGTTTCTTTGACGTCAGCTCCAATCAATAGCTGTGGGTCCATTCATAGACACGATCAATGACATATCTCATCATTACATTAGGCAGGAAGAACTTAAAGTGCTAATTGCCCATTATATCCGATCCTTTTTTCCTGCCGACATCTGCAACTCTTCATCGTCACGCCTCATTTCAGCTGGTCTGAAGAACACTTTCAAATCTCTGAGCATCTCGACATCACCCGCTACAAAGCATACTTTCCCGGGCTTTCCGATTAGGCCTAGTAGCTATACAGGTTCGACACTGGAACCCATTTTTACACATTTACACACCATTTGGCATTTGACATCCTCATTGCCTTGCCAATACACCATTATCAATATCCATCTCGCAGTCGCCTTGCTCGACGCATCCTGAAATCATAAAATCCATTTCATTTCCCATTGTCCATCAACTATCAACTACCAACTATCAAAAAGGATACCTACGGGACACCGCGCAACAGTCAACTGCAACTTTAAAGAACAGCATCCAACAAAAGCAATATGTGTCGCCAATACTTTACACTTTACGAATGGTGCCAATGCGAAGAAGATGCCGGCAATAGCGTCTGCGCCGCCCACCGCCGGAACGGCTGCCCGGGTGTCAGCGTGGAGACCGTGCACATGCACTGCTTCTGCAACTCGCATGCCACGCGTGGCTTCAAGTCTGAGAAGGAGACCCGCAAGAAGGAGACCAAGGTGGGCCGCCGATCTCAGGATTCCCTTGGTGAAAAGGATTCTTTCGGGCGCCGTTGGTATCAGTGGTATCAATGGCGGGGTCTGCGATCGCGTTAGTGATTACACTTACATTTGACATCTTTTTCTCTTTCTTCTTTGTTTATCTTTTTACAGCTTTGGTGTTGGGGGATTTGCGGTCTCAGTTTTTATATTGGGAAGATGGAACCCCTGCGGGTTTACGGTGTTCCATATGATATGTAACGTGGATGCAATGGTCTAGATGATCTGCATAATATTTGATTCTTGTCTTTATTGAGTTCTTTTTCCTTTCCTATTTTATATTAGTCTTAGACATGAGTTCTAATAGAGAGGCATGAAGTATGATTCTGGACTGTTACAAAACCTATCAATAAAGAGCATACAACTTGATTGTGGTTATAGTTAGACAATAAGAATCAAGTCAAAGAAGATAAAAGAGATCAACAATCAAATAGAAAAATAAATATAAAACTGTACATATGCATGTTGTTGTATGTCGTTGTTCTATGGTCTGGTGATCGACCGAACCCTTGCCCCATGTGGCTTAACCCAAACATGTGAATCTCCACCCTTTCTTTGTCTCTTTGTTTCTTTTGTTTCCCCTTCTGATTCATCGAACCTCGACCTATTATCTATCGCCTTTTATTTCGTATTGAATCAGAAGGGACATCGTGTATTGGTCCTTTGTAGTAGAGTCGATATCTGCAAGATGGAATACAAGCTCCCCTCCACTCAGGAGGACCCGCCATTAGGGGACAATGGCGTCAACAACAACAATATTGATGAGGCGCATTGTGAAATGATCGATTCTCTGAATCGCCTGACTCTAGCGGCAGCGACTCCATTGCCTTCATCACCTCGTCTTTCTCCTGTTCCATCCTATCTCCCTTCCTCTAAATCTGTGCACACTCCACCTGCACCTGCTATTCCTCTACAGCCCAACCAACCCGTTCAAGCTGTCTCTTTACAATCAAATCAACCTGTGCAATCTGTCTCACAAACAGCTGGTTCTGTTTCTGTTCGAGACGAACGACGGAAGTCAATTACACCACTACAAAAGCGCAAGTCCGCTGCATCTCTTCGTTCGGTCTCACAACCACTCAAGTCTTCATCCCCAACTCCTGATCTATCACGTCGCACATCGTCCACCTCTGTGGGATCGCCAACCACCGCAACGTCACCCGCGATGCACCCTGCACGCCTTGTCTTCAGCCCAGCTCCAGAAGCTCCAGTCCCGACTGCTTCATCTGTCGCGGCTGAGCACTTCTCAAAGGAGCTTGAATTACACCGATCTGGTGGTGTCAACACTAAAACTGCCGTTATTGTCCATGACGACTGCTACGGCCACCGCTACTCTCAGCTTGAAGCGCCAAAACGAACTCTCGAGAGAATTGTCGAAAGACCAGAGCGCATCCGCGCCTGCGCAGTGGGAATATCTGCAGCCTACGTCCGCCTCGGCTCTCGGTATGCAGAAGATCTTGCGCCGAACCCAAGTCTGAGCTTGAGCGAGATTAATGTTCCTTTTCAAATTGTCAAGTCTGATCGCAAGGTGCATTTGTCTGATACTACCGTTACGGACGTCCATGGGACCCGGTGGATGTCAGAATTGAAATGGATGGGGGACCTTGCAGAGACACGTCTCATCATGGATGGAAATGAACTCGCCAGACAACGGACGAAAGAAGACGACGGGCTTGGGACAACTGGTCCCGCCCTGAATAATAACGATCTCTACTTATGCTCAGAGTCTGTGAATGCCTTCCAAGGAGCCCTGGGGGCCGTCTGCGAAGGAGTGGATCTTGTTTTCAAGCCTGGTCCGATCCAGCGAGCATTCGTCTGCATTCGACCACCCGGTCACCATTGTTCAGCTGACCACCCTTCCGGCTTTTGCTGGATCAACAACGTCCATGTCGGAATTTCTCACGCAGCGACAAACCACGGTCTGACCCACGCTGCGATCCTTGACTTCGATCTTCACCATGGTGATGGGTCTCAGGACATCACATACGACCACAACTCCAAATTACTCAACAAAGCACAGAAGGCCGACTTGGCCAAAACTGATGCCACGAAATTCAAGGAATATGAAGACGCTCCTCCATACACCAAAGCAGCAATTGGCTACTACAGCTTGCATGATGTGAACTCTTTCCCTTGTGAGAATGGCGAGCGCGATAAAGTCATGGGTGCCAGCCTCTGTCTCGAAGCACACAACCAGTCCATCTGGAACGTTCATCTTGAAAAGTGGACTGATCTGGATGGGTTCTGGAAATTATACCAGACGAAATACAACGCATTGCTCACCAAAGCCCGCTCATTTCTACGCGAACGTACAATCGAACTCAATCAGGAACGACAAGAGAACCCGAATTCTCCGCTGCCCAAAGCGGCAATCTTTATCTCCGCCGGCTTTGATGCCAGCGAGTGGGAAGGCAACGGCATGCAACGCCACAGCGTGAAGGTCCCGACTGAATTCTACGCCAAGTTCACCGCGGATGTCATCCGCATGTCGCAAGAGGAAGGCCTCGGTGTAGAGGGGCGTGTCATCAGCGTCCTCGAGGGCGGCTACAGTGACCGCGCATTGTCCTCCGGTGTGCTCAGTCATCTGTCAGGTCTGAGTGAAAACTCATTCGAAAGTGAGTGGTGGTCTCAGAATAATCTGAGAGAATTGGATGCCATCATGGCTCCAACGCCCAGCAAAGGGCGCAAGAAGAGTACTGCCACCTACCTGACAGCCACAAAGTCCTTTGCGGCAAAGGCCGTCGCCCCGGGCAAAGACCGGAGGCTCTACCGGGGACCTCCAAGCCAACATCGCCGCCGCCCCTTTGCCAGAAGTGAGCTGGGCGGTAGCCACGGGGGGAGCTCTCAAAGCTCATCATCCCCAATGGCCGCCAGACCCTGAGCTGCCGCCCGGCGGAGCTGAACCGCCAGCGGCGAGAGCAGAGCGCCCAGGACGGGGGTCTTGGCCTCATCATCCCCGTCGAGAAAGGGCGCCAGCTGCGCTCGCGGAAACCCAAGGAGTCGGCCCCGGCGCCAACCACCCCCCGCCCAGCCACCCCACGACGCCAGGCCCGGAAGGGACCGAAAACCCCCAAAACCACCACTGCCGCCACGACCGTCCCTGCGGCCTCCCGCGAAGTCTCCCCGTCTGTGGATGCCTCCCGTCGGAAGA